CGCCCCCTGCTGGACACGAGCCGGAACTACAACAACAACACAAACTACACTTTTATTAAAAAAATACAAAATAAAAAAACTTCACCAGAGACAAAACCAATTTTATGACTGAAAATGACCAAAGACTATTTAAGATATTTATTAGTGATTCTCCTGGTTTAGACCTGGTTTAGACCTGGTTTAGTCCTGGTTTAGTCCTGGTTTAGACCTGGTTTAGACCTGGTTTAGACCTGGTTTAGTCCTGGTTTAGTCCTGGTTTAGTTCTGGTTTAGTCCTGGTTTAGACCTGGTTTAGACCTGGTTTAGTCCTGGTTTAGTTCTGGTTTAGTCCTGGTTTAGTCCTGGTTTAGTTCTGGTTTAGTTCTGGTTTAGACATGGTTTAGTCCTGGTTTAGTCCTGGTTTAGTTCTGGTTTAGTCCTGGTTTAGTTCTGGTTTAGTCCTGGTTTAGTTCTGGATTAGTCCTGGTTCAGTCCTGGTTTAGTTCTGGTTCAAAACTGAAAAAGTCCTAATTTTAGCTCTAGTCTAGACCTGATATAATCCAAAAACTCATATTTATATATTTATATATTTATTTTTGTTTTTCACATTCTCGACTCTGGTGACGTCATGACATGATTTCACTCTTCAAAACTTTTTACTTCACGAAACTTTACAAAATAAACAAAACATTTATTCTCAACTCTTGAATGTCGTCTTTTCTTTTCTATCGTGACTAAACACTTTCACTTGCTCTGGTACAATAAAAAAATATAAAAAATAATTGTATTTATCTATAAATCTGTGTTAAATATGATGATCCTGTAAAATGTTGTGACGTCGTTGTGCAATGTTTTGCGGTGACGTCACGCCGTTACCATGGTGACACAATGCAAACATTACCAAACACAGTCCAAAAAAATTTTAACTGAAAAAAAATAAAAAAAATAAATAAATAATAATAATAATAAAATAAATAAATTAATAAAATAAATAAATAAATAAAATAAATAAAAATAATAATAAAATAAATAAATAAATAAATAAATAAATGATAGATGGTTCTGTGTGTTCTGTTTTGGAGTTTTTTTGGGTTTTTTTGTGTTAAAAATAAAAATCAGTGTTTAATTTTTCTGATATAAACGATTTATCTATTTTTTCTAACTTTCTGCTTTAAGTTTAGACTCTTTATGATTCTCTAAAAACAGGTTTGAAAAATAAAAGTTGATCTCCGTGTTTTGAATGAGTCGCTCACGTGCGTCCAGCAGAGGGCGGCGCGCGCTCACTGACGCCCCCCCCCCCCCCCCCGCGTCCTGCGTCACTTCCGTCCTGAGACCCAAAATGGCGGCTGTAGTTTTTGTGTTGAAGAGGTTGTAGTTTAAACTCAGAGTGTCGCTAAAGTGTCCCGGTTCTGTCCCGGTTCTGTCCCGGTTCTGTCCGTAACTGTCTGTGTCTCCTCCACAAACATGTTCAGGCCTGTGTCCCGCCGACCCTGTGGTGACCGCGTCTTTATTTTGCGTTTTCAGGTCAGTTTTTGGGCAAAGAAACGACGGAAAGCGCAGCGGAAGCGGCGCCCGGCGGAGCTGCGGTGAGGAGCTAATGATGCTAATGCTAATCTCACGTTTTACATCTTTAATTTTTACAAACGCAACGATCCAGGTTTGTTACGTCGAGTTAAACCAAACCACAAACATCACAACATTTATTTACTGTGTGTGTGAGTGAGTTAAAGCTGCTGGAGGTTTTTACGCTTCTTTAACGTGTCTGTTTGAGTTTGTTTGGAGGTGATTTAAAATGTAATCCCCTACAGATTACAGATCCCAAAATGTAGTTTGTAACGGAATCCATAAAGTTACTTAAGGTGAGTAATGTAATCTGATTACTTTGGACTTTACTTGATTTGCTGTAGAGAAAAAAAGACGTGGAAATCTTCACATAAGAAGTTTTGTCCAATAAAAGAAAATAAAAAGTCCAGACTTTACTAAACAAAATTAAAAATATTACTGATAGTCCTGATTTAGACCTGGTTTAGTTCTGGTTATAGTCCTGTTATAGTCCTGTTTTAGTCCTGGTTTAGTCCTGTTTTACCTGGTCCTGGTTTAGTCCTGGTTATATTTAGTCCTGGTTCTGGTTCAGTCCTGGTTTATAGTCCTTTAGTCCTGGTTTAGTCCTGGTTTAGTTCCTGGAGTCCTGGGTCCTGGTTTAGTCCTGGTTATAGTCCTGGTTATAGTCCTGTTTTAGTCCTGGTTTAGTCCTAGTCCTGGTTAAGTCCTGGTTTAGTCCTGGTTTAGTCCTGGTAGTCCTGGTTTTAGTCCTGGTTTAGTCCTGGTTAGTCCTGGTTCAGTCCTGGTTAGTCCTGGTTTAGTCCTGGTGGTTATTAGTCCTGGTAGTCAGTCCTGGTTTAGTCCTGGTTAGTCCTGGTCCTGGTTCAGTCCTGGTTTAGTCCTGGTTTAGTCCTGGTTTAGTCCTGGTTAGTCCTTTTAGTCCTGGTTTAGTCCTATTAGTCCTGGTTAGTCCTGGTGGTTAGTCCTGGTTAGTCCTGGTTTAGTCCTGGTTTCAGTCCTGGTTAGTCCTGGTTTAGTCCTGGTTTAGTCCTGGTTCAGTCCTGGTTCAGTCCTGGTTTAGTCCTGGTTTAGTCTAGTTTCTAGTCCTGGTTCTAGTCCTGGTTCTAGTCCTGGTTTAGTCCTGGTTTAGTCCTGGTTTAGTCCTGGTTTAGATTGGTGTACAGAACAGAGACACTGGAACATTTCTTGTATAAATTTGGGACAAATCAGTTGTTTTTGTATAAATCTGTTGGACAGAGACACAGACTCAGGTCTGGGTCTGTCCCTGGGTCTGTCCCTGGGTCTGTCCCTGGGTCTGTCCCTGGGTCTGTCCCTGGGTCTGTCCCTGGGTCTGTCCCTGGGTCTGTCCCTGGGTCTGTCCCTGGTCATCAGGGACGTCGGGTCACGCTGCCAAAAACCCCCAAAATGTGTAGTTATTTGGACCGTTTTTATTGTAATAAAAGTCAGAGCTGGTCTTTCACACTGGAGAATCTCTTTAAAGTTTAATTCTTTTTATTATTTTATAAATTCTGTTCAGTGACGTTACAGATGTTTAACTGTCATCACATAATCACCTTGTTTTTCAGGTCTGACCGTCTGGAGGGAACACGTTTAATCATCATCATCATAATTATAATAATAATAATAATCCAGAGTTAATGGGCTCTGTTCACACTTAAAGGTTGTATAGGGGATTTGCACCGTCACGTGTCGCCATGGCAACGGTACCTACGCCGCCATGACACCGGGCACACTATGTCACTGACTTCAGCAGCATTGGAGAAACATGGGCAGGTTTTGTTGTGTATTTGGTTCTAGATCAGTGGTGCTCAATACGTCGATGTCCTGATCTACCAGTCGATCTCCAAGGTCGTGTGTGTAGATCGTCGTGTCTCGTCTCGTACTCGCGTTTGGACTCGGTCTTGTCTCTCACTCGAGGTTTGACACTCAACAAGTGTGATCATATTTGATTCTGGCCGCTGCTGTTGGTAATAAACTTGTAGCGGGTGCAGGAGCGTGTGGTACCTGTTGTAGTACTCGGTGGTAGATAGTAGTAGTAGTAGTAGTAGTAGTAGTAGTAGTAGTAGTACTTGTAGCGGGTGCAGGAGCGTGTGGGGCGTCTCAGTTGTGGCCTGTGCGCTCATTTGAAACCCGCGGAGACTCTACGGCGCATCACAAACACACACGCTCCCTATGCACGGCTCGTCTGCGACAGCGTGTGCCCTCGTGTACCAGCGCTGCATCACAGGGCAGGTTCAACTTCCTAAACATCCTACCTGTCCATCTGCCCTCACGTCAGCACGCCGCCCCTCGCCTTTTCACGCTCTCGCTCCTTCCTGCGTACAGCCAACACAAGCCCCTCCCACAGTGCGGCTGATTAGAAGAACAAGACCAAACGTGAAGCAAAAACCAGTCTAAATTTATGTTCCAGTGTTGGCACAAAGCAGGTCTACAGCATAGAGCGGATCTACAGAACAGACCTACTGCCACATTTGGCTGAAGTTTGTCTAACAAAAGTGACAAATGCATCTGTGTTTGTCACGATGTGTGTTTGGTTTGGTAAACGTGCAGAGGCTGGTAAATATCACTGCAAAACCAGAAAAGAATGAAACTCCAGTTTGGAACTTTAAAAAACAGGTTTAAAAATCTTCCTTCACTTTTTTCACAGTTTTGTGTAAAGTGCCAGAGGAAGTTCTCTTAAAGAAGAGGTTCTCAAACTGTGGGGGAGGGTCCAGAAAAGTTGTTGAGTGTTTCAGTGCAGTTTGTTTGACTTTGTATCAGGTCGATCATTTTGACTTGGTCATTTTTTAAGAAGCTCACATGATGAAAAAGTGTGAACACCCCTGGTCTAGACGCTCTTAACGGGATAAAACGATTCGTTTCTTCACTGTTCCTCTGGAAATGACTCATCAAGATCAAACAAGGGAATTATCGGAAAAAAACAGGAATTATGTCTAGAGAACATAAACCATGAAGAGATTTCCTATGGTCCCATCAAGACACACTCATGTCACTTTCATCAAGGTGTTTGTTATTTAAATAGTTTCATAGTTTATTTAATGAAGAGAAGCACATTTACTGAACTAAAATATAAAAAGAAAACATTTGTAGAAACTGTATGTTCCAGCACATATAATCATGTCACTCGTCGTAGGACCATGTTTTCTTTATTGTCTTGTTTATCCACAACTTTGTCTTCTAGAATGAATCTCTTTTTGTGAGTGGATCTTTGTAACGTTGGCGAGGATCTTTTCATGGTCGATTCTTTGGAGGTTCGTCACAGACTCTTCGACTCGTGCGTCGTGTTGATCACAGGAGCCAGTGTGGGTTCGCTGAATCGTAAACTAGTGCGGGTTTTCCTCCATAAATTAATGACATTTTAGTTCAGTAAATGTGCTTCTCTCATTAAATAAACTATGAAACTATTTAAATAGTAAATACCTTGATGAAACTTGTGTGTCTTCATGGTACTATAGGAAATCTCTTCATGGTTTATGTTCTCTAGACATAATCCGCGTCTTTTTTCTGATAATTTCCTTGATTGGTCCTGATGAGTCATTTCCAGAGGAACAGTGAAGAAACGATTTGTTTTATCCCTTTCAGAGCGTCTAGAACAACCAAATACACAACAAAACCTGCCCATAAACCTGCCCAAAAAAATCCTCCATAAAACCTTTAAATCCTAAAACCTACAGACGTTTGAAACACGTGGATCAGAGCTGAGGATCATTCAGAAGTCACCGATACGATACTGACCTCGATACAGCGCACTTTTGATTCGATACGATATTTTTCAAAATGATTCTATTAAAGCCTAAATCTTGTCTTTGTTAAACCACTTGATCTGAAACACAAACATTTAAATCGTCAAAACTGTGAAAATGTCAAATGTGTCGCTCAAACCAGTTTCCTTCCTCTGACCAAAACAACAAAACTGGAGCTGGAACTAAATCATTTAATAAAATAAACCAACAAATCCTCTTGATTTATCGATACAGCAGAACACGATATCGATACTGATTCAGCACATTAAACGATTCGATATTTAGATATTTTTGCACAGCCCCAGTGCAGATGACGACTTCCTTTAGGGTTTGTTGGCGATTGTGACTCAGTTTTCTTTGTCCACGTGTCACTGTGTTCTTTCTTTTTTGTTTTTTTTATTATTATAAATTGGCTTTTAATTTGTGTGTTATAATTTCTCTAATTTAATTTTAAAAAAGATGTCAGTGTAGTGTTCTGTTATGTTCATAAGTTCAACAGCTCCAACCAGTGAAATAGTCCTGGTTTAGACCGGATATAGTCCTAATTTAGTCCTGGTTTTGGACCGGATATAGTCCTAATTTAGACCTGGTTTAGACCTGGTTTAGTCCTGGTTTAGACCTGGTTTAGTCCTGGTTTAGACCTGGTTTAGACCTGGTTTAGAGACCTGTTTGGTTTAGTCCTGGTTTAGACCTGGTTTAGGCCTGGTTTAGACCTGGTTTAGACCTGGTTTAGACCTGGTTTAGACCTGATATTAGTTGTTTAGAGTCTCGTCTCGTGTGAAAAGTTTTGTCGGGTTGTGAAGACGCTGCTGCTGCTGCTGACTCCACAGTTTTATCACAAACCCACATTAGAACTAAAATCAAATCTAAACTTTAAATCAAATCTAATCAAAATAAAAGTTTAACTCTAGATCCACACATGGCGCCCGAATCTGTAACTGTTCCCAAACGTCTTCCAGTAAAAACCAGTAGAACCTGTCAGCCTAAACTCTCCTGGAACAATTAGATTTAACGAATGAAACTACGATTTAACTCCGAGATGGATAAAAAAATCTGTGGGATTAAATTTTAAACGAGGATTTTGTTTGTTTGTCTGTTTGTTCATTGTGTCGTTTTTAATAAGTTTATTCTCGTTCTTTTCCGGTTTGAATCGTGTTAAATTCTCTTTTTGAGTTGTTTTTTTGGTGCAAGAATCGTCTCATATATTTGTGAATTTACGGTTTAGAAGCGCTGATGGAGGCCCAGAATGGAGAGCGTTTACCGGGCGACAGCGGAGCGTTTGACCCGGAGCGCGAGGTCTGTGACCCGGACCCGGACCTGGAGACTGAGCTGCTGCAGAAAGCTCACGGAGGACAGAGTCTGGAGCGGGACGAGCGCGAGGCGTTTGACCCGGTCTCTGAGGCTCCTGTGGTGGACATGGAGCTCTGTGAGACGTTTGGAGCTGACCCGGAGGAGGAGAGCGAGGCGTTTGACCCGGTCCGCGAGGCCCCCGGAGCGTCCGACCCGGAGGTGTCGGTGCTGAGGCGTAGGGCCCGGTCTCTGAAGCAGGAGCTGGAGCTGTGTAAAGCAGAACTGAGCAAACTCCAGAGACGCCTGAGTCAGTCTGAGAGAGTCCAGAAGAACACGGAGAACTACAACCAGGACCTCCGCAAACAGGTCAGAACCAGAACACAACCAGAACACAACCAGAACTACAACCAGGACCTCCGCAAACAGGTCAGAACCAGAACACAACCAGAACACAACCAGAACACAACCAACCTCCAAACAGAGCAGAACAGAACCAGAACACAACCAGAACTACAACCAGGACCTCCGCAAACAGGTCAGAACCAGAACACAACCAGAACAGAACAGAACCCATACAGGTTAAAACCCATACAAGGTCAGGTATTGTGACACACTTGTACTAAAGTGTCCAGATTTTCTTGGTTTAAAATGGTTTTGCTGTAACGGACTTTAAACGGACGGATGTTTATCGTGTGTGTGTGTGTTTATCGTGTGTGTTTATCGTGTGTGTGTGTGTTTATCGTGTGTGTGTGTGTTTATCGTGTGTGTGTGTGTGTGTGTGTTTATCGTGTGTGTGTTTATCGTGTGTGTGTTTATCGTGTGTGTTTATCGTGTGTGTTTATCGTGTGTGTGTGTGTGTGTGTTTATCGTGTGTGTGTTTATCGTGTGTGTTTATCGTGTGTGTGTGTGTGTGTGTGTGTTTATCGTGTGTGTGTGTGTGTTTATCGTGTGTGTGTGTGTTTATCGTGTGTGTGTGTGTTTATCGTGTGTGTGTGTGTGTGTGTGTGTGTTTATCGTGTGTGTGTGTGTGTTTTATCGTGTGTGTTTATCGTGTGTGTGTTTATGTGTGTGTGTGTGTGTGTTTATCGTGTGTGTGTGTGTGTTTATGTGTGTGTGTGTGTGTGTGTTTATCGTGTGTGTGTGTGTTTATCGTGTGTGTGTGTGTGTGTGTGTGTGTTTGTGTGTGTGTGTGTGTGTGTTTATCGTGTGTGTGTGTGTGTTTATCGTGTGTGTGTGTGTGTGTGTGTTTATCGTGTGTGTGTGTGTTTATCGTGTGTGTGTGTGTTTATCGTGTGTGTGTGTGTGTGTTTATCGTGTGTGTGTGTGTGTGTGTGTTTATGTGTGTGTGTGTGTTTATCGTGTGTGTGTGTGTGTGTTTATCGTGTGTGTGTGTGTGTTTATCGTGTGTGTGTGTGTGTGTGTGTGTTTATCGTGTGTGTGTGTGTGTTTATCGTGTGTGTGTGTGTGTGTGTGTGTGTGTGTGTGTGTGTGTTTATCGTGTGTGTGTGTGTTTATCGTGTGTGTGTGTGTGTGTGTGTTTATCGTGTGTGTTTATCGTGTGTGTGTGTGTTTATCGTGTGTGTGTGTTTATCGTGTGTGTGTGTTTATCGTGTGTGTGTGTTTATCGTGTGTGTGTGTTTATCGTGTGTGTGTGTGTGTGTGTGTGTTTATCGTGTGTGTGTGTGTTTATCGTGTGTGTGTTTATCGTGTGTGTGTGTGTTTATCGTGTGTGTGTGTGTGTGTCGTGTGTCGTGTGTGTGTGTTTATCGTGTGTGTGTGTGTGTGTGTGTTTATCGTGTGTGTCGTGTGTGTGTGTGTGTGTGTGTTTATCGTGTGTGTGTGTGTTTATCGTGTGTGTGTGTGTGTGTGTGTTTATCGTGTGTGTGTGTGTGTTTATCGTGTGTGTGTGTGTGTTTATCGTGTGTGTGTGTGTTTATCGTGTGTGTGTGTGTGTTTATCGTGTGTGTGTGTGTGTGTGTGTGTGTGTTTATCGTGTGTGTGTGTGTGTGTGTGTGTTTATCGTGTGTGTGTGTGTGTGTGTTGTGTGTGTGTGTGTGTTTATGTGTGTGTGTGTGTTTATCGTGTGTGTGTGTGTGTGTGTGTGTGTTTATCGTGTGTGTGTGTGTGTGTTTATCGTGTGTGTGTGTGTGTGTGTGTGTTTATCGTGTGTGTGTGTGTGTGTTTATCGTGTGTGTGTGTGTGTGTTTATCTGTGTGTGTGTGTGTTGTGTGTGTGTGTGTGTGTGTTTATCGTGTGTGTGTGTGTGTGTGTGTGTTATCGTGTGTGTGTGTGTGTGTTGTGTGTGTGTGTGTGTGTGTTTTATCGTGTGTGTGTGTGTGTTTATGTGTGTGTGTGTGTTTATCGTGTGTGTGTGTGTTTGTGTGTGTGTGTTTATCGTGTGTGTGTGTGTGTGTGTGTTTATCGTGTGTGTGTGTGTGTGTTTATCGTGTGTGTGTGTGTGTTTATCGTGTGTGTGTTTATCGTGTGTGTGTGTGTGTGTGTGTGTGTGTTTATCGTGTGTGTGTGTGTTTATCGTGTTGTGTGTGTGTGTTTATGTGTGTGTGTGTTATCGTCGTGTGTGTGTGTGTTTATCGTGTGTGTGTGTTTATCGTGTGTGTGTGTGTGTGTGTGTGTGTGTTTATCGTGTGTGTGTGTGTGTTTTTCAGGTGGAACAGTTGAGCGAGGAGCTTCATGAAAGAAAGAAAAAAGAGAAAGACAGAAGTGATGCAGAGACGCAGACGGAGACGCAGACGGAGACGCAGACGGAGACGCAGACGGAGACGCAGACGGAGACGCAGACGGAGACGCACACGTGGAGCGACACCGGTGAGACACAAACTGTCGACCGTCGTGCACCTCAGAACCATCAGGGCTGTGATTGGTCGTTTCTACATCGGCTCTGGTTTCCCGCTTCATGTTGTAAACACGAACACCAGGTTTAAACCGTCGCCTCCTGGTGTTGTGGAGGTGAATTACTTGACGGTGCATAAACCTTGACACAGATCAAATCAAATCAAAAACGATGGCGGCAGAGTGCGACGAGTCGACACAGAGAAATATAAAACGGCTTTTAGTCCTGGTTTAGATCATTATTCCGTCCCGAAGACATGGTCCCACACTGTGACATCATCGGTTGTCTTTTCTTTTTCAGATTATTACAATTATTACTACGGCGGGTACTACCAGGACACAGCAGCAGAGGGCGCCGCCGCGGTGACAGAGGGCGCCGCCGCGGTGACAGAGGGCGCCGCCGCGGTGACAGAGGGCGCCGCTCATGACGCGCTGCTGCCCCCTGGAGTCCACCCGGAGGAGAGCGGACTCGCGGAGGATAAATCTGTTACCGTGGAGACCGGCAAGTCTGCGGAGGGAGGGGGGGCAGGAGACTCTACGGCGCCCCCTGTCGGAGCGGAGGGAGACACGAGCCAAAACCCCGACGCCACAGAGAGCACAGAGAGCACGCAGGTGTGTCAGATGCCCTCCCATCTCTCTGTCTCAGGAGGCTGATGGTTTTTAGGGACGCACCAGAACAATGAAACTGAATAAAAATGAAACTGAATATCAACTGCGGTTATTAAGTTTATCACTATTTTTTTGAATATTGCATAAATAGCCCTAGAATAAATTTTTAGACATGTTTTTACAAGAAAGTAGTATTATTGTTATTATTTCATATTCTTTAAATATTCCAGTCGCCTTTCCAGTCAGTTTTTTATTCATATTAGACTAGGCCTTCAAACAAAACAACAACAAAAAAAAAAAAAAATGAAGTGCATAATTGGATAAACCCACAACAAATGAATGGTACAAGTTTGCTGAGTCACAGTAGATCAGCTCGTAATGTGAACAGAAACTCAAGGAAATGTTAAGTGTGTGTTTGTAACCTCACACACTCGGGCTGCACTCACACTAGAACTGTAGAACTGTAGAACTGTAGAACTGTAGAACTGTAGAACTGTAGAACTGTAGAACTGTAGAACTGTGTCCAAACCGTGGCTCGGATGAGACTTTGGGCTGATCGGAGGAGGTGGACCAAAACACGACATGGAGCTCATGTACGAGCCGCGTGTATGTGTGTGTGTGTGTGTGTGTGTGTGTGTGTGTGCGCGCTGATGTCACTTACACGAGAAGTACAGCCAATAACACACGGTGACAGACAGAAGTTGATCTGCGTCTCGTCTCCTCCTGTTCTCTCCGCTCCGTTTTCATCTCCATAAACTCATAAAATGACTCACATCCTTCTCACTGTTTAACGCATTTTTGTGCCGCCGGACTTATTTTCTTTGTTAAATCGTTCGCTCTGCTCCACATGTAAACAAACGGCTCCGTGCGATGACGTCGTCGGCCGGGGCTCGGTTCCGTTCTGCAGTGTGAGTGCGGAACATAGAACCCACAACGTAGAACCCACAGCCGTCGACACGGTTCTAGTGCGCCTTATATTTCCACACTGCTGATGTTTTAAAGAAGGAGCCACACACCACTGTTCAGCCAAACTCACTCCACCGAAAGCTCAATGTGGCTTTTTTCAGCCGAATATATTTGGTTGTCGAATATTTGATGCATCCTTGATGGTTCTATCTGTGTTTCAGGAGGTGGTTGATGGTTCTGTCTGTGTTTCAGGAGGTGGTTGATGGTTCTATCTGTGTTTCAGGAGGTGGTTGATGGTTCTATCTGTGTTTCAGGAGGTGGTTGATGGTTCTATCTGTGTTTCAGGAGGTGGTTGATGGTTCTATCTGTGTTTCAGGAGGTGGTTGATGGTTCTATCTGTGTTTCAGGAGGTGGTTGATGGTTCTGATCTGTGTTTCAGGAGGTGTTGATGGTTCTGGTTTTCAGGAGTGGTTGATGTTCTATCTGTGTTCTATCTGTGTTTCAGGAGGTGGTTGATGGTTCTATCTGTGTTTCAGGAGGTGGTTGATGGTTCTGTCTGTGTTTCAGGAGGTGGTTGATGGTTCTATCTGTGTTTCAGGAGGTGGTTGATGGTTCTGTCTGTGTTTCAGGAGGTGGTTGATGGTTCTATCTGTGTTTCAGGAGGTGGTTGATGGTTCTATCTGTGTTTCAGGAGGTGGTTGATGGTTCTATCTGTGTTTCAGGAGGTGGTTGATGGTTCTGTCTGTGTTTCAGGAGGTGGTTGATGGTTCTATCTGTGTTTCAGGAGGTGGTTGATGGTTCTATCTGTGTTTCAGGAGGTGGTGATGGTTTATCTGTGTTTCAGGAGGTGGTTGATGGATGTGTTTCAGGAGGTGGTTGATGGTCTATCTGTGTTTCAGGAGGTGGTTGATGGTTCTATCTGTGTTTCAGGAGGTGGTTGATGGTTCTATCTGTGTTTCAGGAGGTGGTTGATGGTTCTTCTGTGTTTCAGGAGTTGATGTGTTTCAGGAGGTGGTTGATGTTCTGTGTTTCAGGAGTTGATGGTCTGTGTTTCAGGAGGTGGTTGATGGTTCTGTCTGTGTTTCAGGAGGTGGTTGATGGTTCTATCTGTGTTTCAGGAGGTGGTTGATGGTTCTATCTGTGTTTCAGGAGGTGGTTGATGGTTCTGTCTGTGTTTCAGGAGGTGGTTGATGGTTCTGTCTGTGTTTCAGGAGGTGGTTGATGGTTCTGTCTGTGTTTCAGGAGGTGGTTGATGGTTCTGTCTGTGTTTCAGGAGGTGGTTGATGGTTCTATCTCGGACATGCTCAGATCCACGGCGGAGGAGGCCATGTGTCAGACGGGGTTTGTGTTTGACGAGAACACGGGGATGTACTACGACCACGGTACCGGGTTCTACTACGACTCGGTGAGAAGTACTACGAATACTTCACCATCGTAACTATCACTACTACAACTACTACTTACTACTTTATATGGGGGATAAAAACTTTTGCACAAAATTCTGTTTTGGCATCCCGATCCAAAAAGTCAGTGACACCCATGTCATGTCTTTTACACCGTCGTCATAGCGATGACATAAACTCTCCATGTTATTCTGTTGGTAAAATCTAGAAATTTTGGCACAAACTTTGGTCGATTTCACTCAGATTTTAATGGTGAGTTCACATCTCGACCCTGAACAAACTGATGGAAGAAAAACTGGTGCAATAGCGCCCCCTAGGAAATTTGTATGGAACAATTTGTCATTGATGTATAAAATTTGGTATCCACATTTGTGACATGGTCTCGATTAAAAAACTTCATGACGCTCACACCCCATTTACATTGTGTTGCCACGGCAACAAGCAGAATTCCTACCCTTGCCAATGGGACGTCCTCACACGAAGTTTAACGTAGCCAGATGCATCAGGGCAATAGGAACAAAAAATAGATTGTGACCACGCCCCTTTACAAACCAGAACTCCAGCATCTTGGATTGTGTGTTTTTTTTTTAAATTAAACATGTGTCAAACCCTAGAAAAAAGTCAGGTTAGGAATTAGGAGTTAAGTTAGGGTTGGGGTTGGGTTTAAGCCTAGATGACGTTTAGGGTTAGACCTACTGTTAGGAGTCGTGGTTGGGGTTTACGGTTATTGGGGTGAGGGCGCGGCGTTTACGGGGCGCGGCGTTTACGGGGCGCGGCGTTTACGGGGCGCGGCGTTTACGGGGCGCGGCGTTTACGGGGCGGCGTTTACGGGGCGCGGCGTTTACGGGGCGCGGCGTTTACGGGGCGTGGCATAGGTCCACACAACAGCCAATCATTGCCACTTGTGACATTATTATTATTACTGAAGCAGATCTGGTGTTGGGGATATTTGGAGCGTCCCCAGAAGCTTCGGTTCTTTATGTGCAAACACAAGTGTCAGACAGAGTGACCAACCATGAGAGTCCAGACAAACACAGCAGATCAAAAATCTACTGGACAGAGAAGAATCACTGAGCAGAGCACTAAATCTGCTGTGTGTGTGATGTTCTCCTGTGTGTGTGTGTGATGTTCTCCTGTTCTCCTGTGTGTGTGATGTTCTCCTCTGTGTGTGTGATGTTCTCCTCTGTGTGTGTGATGTTCTCCTCTGTGTGTGTGTGTGATGTTCTCTCCTGTGTGTGTGATGTTCTCGTGTGTGTGTGATGTTCTCCTGTGTGTGTGTGTGATGTTCTCGTGTGTGTGTGATGTTCTGGTGTTCTCCTCTGTGTGTGTGATGTTCTGGTGTTCTCCTCTGTGTGTGTGATGTTCTCCTCTGTGTGTGTGATGTTCTCGTGTGTGTGTGATGTTCTCGTGTTCTCCTCTGTGTGTGTGATGTTCTCATGTTCTCCTCTGTGTGTGTGATGTTCTCTGTGTGTGTGTGTTCTCGTGTGTGTGTGATGTTCTCGTGTTCTCCTCTGTGTGTGTGATGTTCTCGTGTGTGTGTGATGTTCTCATGTTCTCCTCTGTGTGTGTGATGTTTCTCTGTGTGTGTGTGTGTGTCTGTGTGTGATGTTCCTGATGTTCTGTGTGTGTGATGTTGTCTCTGTGTGTGTGTGATGTTCTCCTCGTGTGTGTGTGATGTTTCTCTGTGTGTGTGATGTTCTCGTGTGTGTGTGTGTGTGATGTGTGATGTTGTCGTGTGTGTGTGATGTTCTCCTCTGTGTGTGTGATGTTCTCGTGTGTGTGTGTGATGTTCTCTCTGTCTGTGTGTGTGTGATGTTCTCGTGTGTGTGTGTGTGATGTGTGTCTCGATGTTCTCGTGTGATGTGTGTGTGTGTGATGTTCTCTCCTCTGTGTGTGTGTGATGTTCTCTCTGTGTGTGTGTGATGTTCTCCTCTGTGTGTGTGATGTTCTCTGTTCTCGTGTGTGTGTGATGTTCTCGTGTGTGTGTGATGTTCTCTGTTCTGTGTGTGTGTGATGTTCTCTGTGTGTGTGTGTGATGTTCTGGTGTTCTCCTCTGTGTGTGTGATGTTCTCGTGTGTGTGTGATGTTCTCGTGTGTGTGTGATGTTCTGGTGTTCTCCTCTGTGTGTGTGATGTTGTCGTGTGTGTGTGATGTTCTCCTCTGTGTGTGTGATGTTCTCTCTGTGTGTGTGATGTTCTCCTCTGTGTGTGTGATGTTCTGTGTGTGTGATGTTCTCGTGTGTGTGTGTGATGTTCTCTGTGTGTGTGTGTGATGTTCTCGTGTTCTCTCGTGTGTGTGTGATGTTCTCGTGTGTGTGTGATGTCTCCTCTGTGTGTGTGATGTTCTCCTCTGTGTGTGTGATGTTCTCGTGTGTCTGTGTGTGTGTGATGTTTCTCTCTGTGTGTGTGATGTTCTCCTCTGTGTGTGTGTTCTCGTGTGTGTGTGTGATGTTCTCGTGTGTGTGTGTGTGTGATGTTCTCGTGTGTTCTGTGTGTGTGTGTGTGTGATGTTCTCCCTCTGTGTGTGTGATGTTCTCCTCTGTGTGTGTGATGTCTCGTTCTCGTGTGTGTGTGATGTTCTCGTGTGTGTGTGTGATGTTCTCGTGTGTGTGTGTGTGTCTGTTCTCGTGTGTGTGTGATGTTCTCGTGTGTGTGTGATGTTCTCGTGTGTGTGTGATGTTCTCTGTGATGTCTGTGTGTGTGTGTGTGTTCTCGTGTGTGTGTGATGTTCTCCTGTGTGTGTGTGTGTGTGTGTGATGTCTCTCGTGTGTGTGTGTGTTCTGATGTTCTCCTCTGTGTGTGTGATGTTCTCTGTGTGTGTGTGTGATGTTCTGATGTTCTCTGTTGTGTGTGATGTTCTCGTGTGTGTGTGATGTGTGTGGTGTGTGTGTGATGTTCTCGTGTGTGTGTGTGATGTTCTCGTGTGTGTGTGTGTTTCTGTGTGATGTGTTCTGTGTGTGTGTGTGTGTGTTCTCTGTGTGTGTGTGATGTTCTCGTGTGTGTGTGATGTTCTGTGTGTGTGTGATGTTCTCCTCTGTGTGTGTGTGATGTCTGTGTGTGTGTGATGTTCTGATGTGTGTGTGTGTGTGTGATGTTCTGTGTGTGGTGATGTTCTGTGTGTGTGATGTTCTGTGTGTTTCTGTCGTGTGTGTGTGATGTTCTCGTGTGTGTGTGATGTTCCTCTGTGTGTGTGTGTCTCTGTTCTCGTGTGTGTGTGATGTTCTCGTGTGTGTGTGTGATGTTCTCCTGTGTGTGTGTGATGTTCTCTCTGTGTGTGTGATGTTCTCGTGTGTGTGTGATGTTCTCCTCTGTGTGTGTGATGTTCTCCTCTGTGTGTGTGATGTTCTCGTGTGTGTGTGATGTTCTCGTGTGTGTGTGATGTTCTCGTGTGTGTGTGATGTTCTGTGTGTGTGATGTTCTCTGTGTGTGTGATGTTCTGTCGTGTGTGTGTGATGTTCTCGTGTGTTCTCGTGTGTGTTGTGTGTGGTGTGTGTGTTCTGGTGTTCTCCTCTGTGTGTGTGATGTTGTCGTGTGTGTGTGATGTTCTCCTCTGTGTGTGTGATGTTCTCGTGTGTGTGTGATGTTCTGGTGTGTGTGTGATGTTCTGGTGTGTGTGTGATGTTCTGGTGTGTGTGTGTGTGTGTGTGTGTGTGATGTCTGGTGTGTGTCTGTGTGTGTGGATGTGTCTCGTGTGTGTGTGATGTTCTCGTGTGTGTGTGATGTTCTCTGTGTGTGTGTGTGATGTTCTCTCTGTGTGTGTGTGATGTTCTCGTGTGTGTGTGATGTTCTCCTCTGTGTGTGTGTGATGTTCTCCTCTGTGTGTGTGATGTTCTCGTGTGTGTGTGATGTTCTCCTCTGTGTGTGTGATGTTCTCGTGTGTGGTGTGTGTGATGTTCTCGTGTGTGTGTGATGTTCTCGATGTCGTGTGTGTGTGATGTTCTCGTGTGTGTGTGATGTTCTCGTGTGTGTGTGATTTCTCGTGTGTGTGTGATGTTCTCGTGTGTGTGTGATGTTCTCTCTGTGTGTGTGTGATGTTCTCGTGTGTGTGTGATGTTCTCCTCTGTGTGTGTGATGTTCTCGTGTGTGTGTGTGATGTTCTCGTGTGTGTGTGATGTTCTCCTCTGTGTGTGTGATGTTCTCCTCTGTGTGTGATGTTCTCCTCTGTGTGTGTGATGTTCTCCTCTGTGTGTGTGATGTTCTCCTCTGTGTGTGTGATGTTCTCCTCTGTGTGTGTGATGTTCTCGTGTGTGTGTGATGTTCTCCTCTGTGTGTGTGATGTTCTCCTCTGTGTGTGTGATGTTCTCCTCTGTGTGTGTGATGTTCTCCTCTGTGTGTGTGATGTTCTCGTGTGTGTGTGATGTCTCGTGTGTGTGATCTCTGTGTGTGTGATGTTCTCGTGTGTGTGTGATGTTCTCGTGTGTGTGTGATGTTCTCCTCTGTGTGTGTGTGTTGTGTGTGTGTGTCGTGTGTGTGTGATGTTCTCGTGATGTGTGTGATGTTCTCTGTGTGTGTGTGATGTTCTGTGTGTGTGTGATGTTCTCTCGTGTGTGTGTGATGTTCTCGTGTGTGTGTGATGTGTGTGATGTTCTCGTGTGTGTGTGATGTTCTCCTCTGTGTGTGTGATGTTCTCGTGTGTGTGTGATGTTCTCGTGTGTGTGTGATGTTCTCTCTGTGTGTGTGATGTTCTCGTGTGTGTGTGATGTTCTCGTGTGTGTGTGATGTTCTCGTGTGTGTGTGATGTTCTCCTCTGTGTGTGTGATGTTCTCCTCTGTGTGTGTGATGTTCTCGTGTGTGTGTGATGTTCTCCTCTGTGTGTGTGATGTTCTCGTGTGTGTGTGTGATGTTCTCGTGTGTGTGTGATGTTCTCCTCTGTGTGTGTGATGTTCTCCTCTGTGTGTGTGATGTTCTCCTCTGTGTGTGTGATGTTCTCGTGTGTGTGTGTGATGTTCTCGTGTGTGTGTGATGTTGTTCCTCTGTGTGTGTGATGTTCTCTCTGTGTGTGTGATGTTCTCCTCTGTGTGTGTGATGTTCTCCTCTGTGTGTGTGTGATGTTCTCGTGTGTGTGTGATGTTCTCCTCTGTGTGTGTGATGTCGTGTGTGTCGGTGATGTTTCTGTGTGTGTGATGTTCTCCTGTGTGTGTGTGTGTGTGTGGTTCATGTGTGTGTGATGTCTCGTGTGTGTGTGATGTTCTGGTCTGTGTGATGTTCTCGTGTGTGTGTGATGTTCTCGTGTGTGTGTGATGTTCTGTGTGTGTGATGTTCTCGTGTGTGTGTGATGTTCTCCTCGTGTGTGTGTGATGTTCTCGTGTGTGTGTGATGTTCTCGTGTGTGTGTGATGTTCTCGTGTGTGTGTGTGATGTTCTCGTGTGTGTGTGATGTTCTCGTGTGTGTGTTCTCGTGTGTGTGTGATGTTCTCCTCTGTGTGTGTGATGTTCTCCTCTGTGTGTGTGATGTTCTCCTTGTGTGTGTGATGTTCTCCTCTGTGTGTGTTGATGTTCTCGTGTTGTGTGATGTCTCTGTGTGTGTGATGTTCTCGTGTGTGTGTGTGATGTCTCGTGTGTGTGATGTTCTGGTGTGTGTGTTCTCTGTGTGTGTGTGATGTTCTCCTCTGTGTGTGTGATGTTCTCTTGTGTGTGATGTTCTCGTGTGGTGTGTGTTCCCTCTGTGTGTGTGATGTTCTCGTGTGTTGATGTGTGTGTGTGATGTTCTCGTGTGTGTGTGTGATGTTCTGTGTGTGTGTTCTCGTGTGTGTGTGATGTTCTCGTGTTCTCCTGCGTCCAGGTGAACCAGCTGTACTACGACAACAACACAGGGATCTACTATTACTACGACGCCGAGAGCGGCAAGTACGAGTTTCACTCCAGGATCGAGCTGCAGCGCGACACCTCCACCACCGAGAGGAGCTACAGCGAGTGGAAGAGCTGGAAACTCAAGAAACTGATGAGCGAACTCAAGAGCGAGATCAAGAACAAACCCAAGGACGAGAAGGTGAGGAACCACCACCAGAACACGGAACCTTCAGTAAGAGAACGTCTGTGTTGTTCTGCGCGCTCACGCCTCAGTGCTCCTGGTCTCAGTCCTCACACGCACACGCAGCGTTTACACAAGACTCACACCACTTTATTAAAGCTGCACTACGTCACTTTTCTGTTGTGGAGGCGTCCACCGCCCGCTGGTCTCCACGGAAACGTCTCTCCTCACGCTCACAGACACCTGTGCTTTTTATTACTTCAGTATTCACTTTATGTCATGTGTTTAGTGTGAGAGGCACAGGGAGAACATGCAGACTCACACACACACACACACACACACAGGGAGAACATGCAAACTCACACACACACACACACACACACACACACACAGGGAGAACATGCAGACTCACACACACACACACACAGGGAGAACATGCAGACTCACACACACACACACACACACAGGGAGAACATGCAGACTCACACACACACACACACACACACACACAGGGAGAACATGCAGACTCACACACACACACACACACACACAGGGAGAACATGCAGACTCACACACACACACACACACACACAGGCAGAACATGCAGACTCACACACACACACACACACACAGGGAGAACATGCAGACTCACACACACACACACACACACACAGGGAGAACATGCAGACTCACACACACACACACACACACACAGGGAGAACATGCAGACTCACACACACACACACACACACACACAGGGAGAACATGCAGACTCACACACACACACACACACACACACACAGGGAGAACATGCAGACTCACACACACACACACACACAGGGAGAACATGCAGACTCACACACACACACACACACAGGGAGAACATGCAGACTCACACACACACACACACACAGGCAGAACATGCAGACTCACACACACACACAGGCAGAACATGCAGACTCACACACACACACACAGCACACACAGGGAGAAACATGCAGACTCACACACACACACACACACACACACACACACACAGGGAGAACATGCAGACTCACACACACACACACAGGGAGAACATGCAGACTCACACACACACACACACACACACAGGAGAACATGCAGACTCACACACACACACACACACAGGGAGAACATGCAGACTCACACACACACACACACACACAGGGAGAACATGCAGACTCACACACACACACACACAGGCAGAACATGCAGACTCACACACACACACAGACACACAGGGAGAACATGCAGACTCACACACACACAGACACACAGGGAGAACATGCAGACTCACACACACACACACAGGGAGAACACACACACACACAGGGAGAACATGCAGACTCACACACACACAGACACACAGGGAGAACATGCAGACTCACACACACACAGACACACAGGGAGAACATGCAGACTCACACACACACACACACACAGGGAGAACATGCAGACCCTCAGATCTCACCTCGTGTGTCTGGGTCTGGTCGTGTGACGTGTCTCCACCAGAAAAGTTCCACAGTGCAGCTTTTAAAACAAACATGACACTGAGATTTAATCCAGGTTCCACTGTTCTACTGTTCTACTGTTTCTGTTCTACTGTTCTACTGTTCTACTGTTCTACTGTTCTACTGTTCTTCTGTTTATTCTGTTCTTCTGTTCTACTGTTCTGTTTACTGTTCTATCTGTTCTACTGTTCTTCTGTTCTACTGTTCTACTTCTTCTGTTCTACTGTTCTGTTTTCTGTTCTACTGTTCTTCTGTTCTACTGTTCTACTGTTCTACTGTTCTGTCTACTGTTCTACTGTTTACTGTTCTGTTCTGTTCTACTGTTCTACTGTTCTAACTGTTTCTTCTGTTTCTGTTCTACTGTTCTTCTGTTCTTCTGTTCTATCTGTTCTACTGTTCTGTTCTACTGTTCTTCTGTTCTTCTGTTCTACTGTTCTTCTGTTCTTCTGTTCTACTGTTCTTCTGTTCTACTGTTCTACTGTTCTTCTGTTCTACTGTTCTTCTGTTCTTCTGTTCTTCTGTTCTTCTGTTCTACTGTTCTACTGTTCTTCTGTTCTACTGTTCTTCTGTTCTACTGTTCTTCTGTTCTACTGTTCTTCTGTTCTACTGTTCTACTGTTCTTCTGTTCTTCTGTTCTTCTGTTCTACTGTTTCTGTTCTACTGTTCTACTGTTCTACTGTTCTTCTGTTCTACTGTTCTTCTGTTCTTCTGTTCTACTGTTCTACTGTTCTTCTGTTCTACTGTTCTTCTGTTCTTCTGTTTGTTCTTCTGTTCTACTGTTCTTCTGTTCTTACTGTTCTCTCTGTTGTTCTTCTGTTCTATCTGTTCTACTGTTCTTCTGTTCTCTACTGTTCTACTGTTCTTCTGTTCTACTGTTCTACTGTTCGTTCTACTGTTCTACTGTTCTTACTGTTCTTCTGTTCTTCTGTTTACTGTTCTTACTGTTCTTCTGTTCTACTGTTCTTCTGTTTCTACTGTTCTTCTGTTCTACTGTTACTGTTCTACTGTTTACTGTTCTTCTACTGTTTACTGTTCTACTGTTCTTCTGTTCTACTGTTCTGTTTACTGTTCTGTTCTACTGTTCTACTGTTGTTCTTTCTCTGTTCTACTGTTCTACTGTTTACTGTTCTTCTGTTCTACTGTTCTTCTGTTCTACTGTTCTACTGTTCTGTTTACTGTTCTTCTGTTCTACTGTTTACTGTTCTTCTGTTCTACTGTTCTCTGTTCTACTGTTCTCTGTTTCTACTGTTCTACTGTTCTTCTGTTCTTCTGTTCTACTGTTCTTCTGTTCTTCTGTTCTACTGTTCTTCTGTTTCTTTCTGTTCTTACTGTTCTCTACTGTTCTACTTTCTTCTGTTCTACTGTTTCTGTTCTTCTGTTCTTCTGTTCTTCTGTTCTACTGTTCTTCTGTTCTCTGTTCTACTGTTCTTCTGTTCTACTGTTCTTCTGTTCTACTGTTCTACTGTTCTACTGTTCTTCTGTTCTTCTGTTCTACTGTTCTTCTGTTCTCTGTTCTCTGTTCTTCTGTTCTTCTGTTCTCTGTTCTCTGTTCTTCTGTTCTACTGTTCTTCTGTTCTTCTGTTCTTCTGTTCTACTGTTCTACTGTTCTTCTGTTCTTCTGTTCTACTGTTCTTCTGTTCTACTGTTCTTCTGTTCTACTCTGTTCTTCTGTTCTACTGTTCTTCTGTTCTTCTGTTCTACTGTTCTTCTGTTCTACTGTTCTACTGTTCTGTTCTACTGTTCTTCTGTTCTACTGTTCTTCTGTTCTACTGTTCTTCTGTTTTCTGTTCTTCTACTGTTCTTCTGTTCTACTGTTCTACTGTTGTTTGTTGTTGTTGTGTCTGTTGTGTGTGTGTCTGTTGTTGTTGTGTTCTTGTGTGTGTGTTGTGTTGTGTTGTGTTGTGTGTTGTTGTTGTTGTTCTGTTGTGTTGTGTTGTTGTTTTGTTGTGTGTTTGTGTTGTTTGTGTTGTTGTGTTGTGTTGTTGTGTTGTGTGTTGTGTTTGTTGTTGTGTTTGTTGTGTTGTGTTGTTGTGTTGTGTTGTGTGTGTGTTGTTGTTGTTCTGTTGTGTTGTGTTGTGTTGTTGTTGTTTGTTGTTGTTGTGTTGTGTGTGTGTTGTTGTGTTGTTGTGTTGTTGTTGTTGTTGTTGTGTTGTGTTGTGTTGTTGTGTTGTTGTTGTGTTGTTGTGTTGTTGTTGTTGTTGTGTTGTGTGTTGTTGTGTTGTTGTGTTGTGTTGTTGTGTTGTGTGTGTTGTTGTGTTGTTGTTGTTGTGTTGTTGTGTTGTGTTGTTTGTGTTGTTGTGTTGTGTTGTTGTTCTTTTCTGTTGTTGTGTTGTTGTTGTGTTGTTGTTTGTTGTGTTGTTGTGTTGTTGTTTGTTGTGTTGTTGTTCTGTGTTGTGTTGTTGTTGTGTTGTGTTGTGTTGTGTGTTGTGTTGTGTTGTTGTGTTGTTGTTGTTTGTTGTTGTTGTGTTGTTGTTCTGTTGTGTTGTTGTGTTGTTGTGTTTGTTGTTGTTCTGTTGTGTGTTGTTGTGTTGTGTTGTTGTGTTGTTGTGTTGTTGTTCTGTTGTGTTGTGTGTTGTGTTGTTGTGTTGTGTTGTTCTGTTGTGTTTGTTGTGTTGTGTTGTTGTGTTGTTGTTCTGTGTGTTCTGTTGTGTTGTTGTTTGTTGTGTTTGTGTTGTTGTTCTGTTGTGTGTTGTTGTTGTGTTGTTGTGTTGTGTTGTTCTGTTGTGTTGTTGTGTTGTGTTGTGTGTGTTGTTGTTCTGTTGTTTGTGTGTTTGTGTTTGTTGTGTTGTTGTTCTGTTGTTGTTGTTGTTGTGTTGTGTTGTGTTGTGTTGTTTGTGTTGTTGTTGTTGTGTTGTGTTGTGTGTTGTTTGTTGTTCTGTTGTGTGTTGTGTTGTTGTGTGTGTTGTTGTGTTGTGTTGTTGTGTTGTGTGTTGTGTGTTGTGTTTGTTGTGTTGTGTTGTTGTTTGTTGTTGTTTGTTCTGTTGTGTTGTGTTGTGTTGTGTTGTTGTGTTGTTGTTGTTGTGTTGTGTTGTTTGTTTGTTGTGTTGTTGTGTTGTGTTGTTGTTCTGTTGTGTTGTTGTGTTGTGTTGTTGTTGTGTTGTTGTTGTGTTGTTGTTGTGTTGTTGTGTTTGTGTTGTTGTGTTTGTTGTGTTGTGTTGTTGTGTTGTTGTTTGTGTGTTCTGTTGTGTTGTGTTGTGTTGTTTGTTGTGTTGTGTGTTGTGTTGTTGTGTTGTGTTGTGTTGTTGTGTTGTTTGTGTTGTGTTGTTGTTGTGTGTTGTGTTGTGTTGTGTTGTTGTGTGTTGTTGTTGTGTTGTGTTGTTGTTCTGTTGTGTTGTGTTGTTGTTGTTGTGTTGTGTGTGTTGTTGTGTTGTTGTGTTGTGTTGTTGTGTTGTTGTGTTGTGTTGTTGTGTTGTTCCTGTCACACTCAGAGCTGGAATGTGTTTGTTTGTTTGTTTATTCTGAGTCTGTTACATCTGTTAAAACTCCAAACACTCTGTTCCACCTCGTGATGTCATCAAGTGGGAGTTTTCAAGTCAACCTCCTTGTCCCTCTCCTCTCTCTTTCTCCTCTTTCTCTCCTCTTTTTCTTCCTGTATCACCACGTGATGACATCACAAGGTGGAGCAGAGTGTTGTCGGTGTGAGAGAAGAACTCTGAAGTTTAATGGTGCAGAGTTTGTGACAAGTCCGGCTCTGTGTGTGACCAGGAAACCACAACACAACAGAGGATTATGGGACATGTAGTCTCTGTATAAACGACACTAGAGCAGAGGATTATGGGACATGTAGTCTCTGTATAAACGACACTAGAGCAGAGGATTATGGGACATGTAGTCTCTGTATAAACGACACTAGAGCAGAGGATTATGGGACATGTAGTCTCTGTATAAACTCCATCAGAACAGAGAGCAGATGTTTGTTTAGGTGTCGTCAGGGCAAAGGAGCAGCTCCAAAACCGATTTAGTTTTTAAATTAAAGTAAAATTTAAAAAAAAAAAAAAAAAAAGGGTTTTGCGGCGTCTGGACTAAAGACTTGTTCTGATTTAGGTCGACGACGTCACAAAATCTTTGGCCAAAATGAAGATTTCCTCTTTTCGGAACACTGCTCCCTACAGAGGTACTTAAGACGACACACAGAGGCCACCGGGACCTGGTTCAGTCCAGGTTTAGACCTGGTTTAGACCTGGTTCAGTCCAGGTTTAGACCTGGTTTAGACCTGGTTTAGACCTGGTTTAGACCTGGTTTACACCTGGTTTAGTCCTGGTTTAGTCCTGGTTTAGTCCTGGTTTAGACCTGGTTTAGACCTGGTTTAGACCTGGTTTAGTCCTGGTTTAGTCCTGGTTTAGTCCTGGTTTAGACCTGGTTTAGACCTGGTTTACACCTGGTTTAGTCCTGGTTTAGACCTGGTTTAGTCCTGGTTTAGTCCTGGTTTAGTCCTGGTTTAGTCCTGGTTTAGTCCTGGTTTAGATTTATACGTGTTGTACCTAATAAGAGTGGCCTGCGTTTACATGTTTTGTCCTGATTTTTCCACATTTCGTTTCAAACTATTTCGGTTTTAGTCTCAAACATTTTCACGTTGAGGGAGGAACAATTTTATATTTGAAAACAAAAACCAAAAAAACTCTGAGACCGACGCACTGAGGCCGCGAGCCGACGCAGCTAACGCTCCTCGCCTCATTCTGACCCGTGTGCTGACAGGACAAGGCCAAGAAGGAGCCCAAAGAAGATCTGAAAACCTCACACAAAAAACCCCAAGACCAACGAAAACCAAGACCAAAGTCCAGGTCCAGGTCCAGGTCTAGATCCAAAAGTCCCGCTCGGAAAAGAAGGAACTCTCCGAAACTGCGAGGAGACGAGAGACGGAGACACAGGGACGAGTCGCCGTACGAGGACAGAGACCGGAGCAGAGACCGGAGCAGAGACCGGAGCAGAGACCGGAGCAGAGACCGGAGCAGAGACCGGAGCAGAGACCGGTCCAGGGACAAGTCCAGGGACAAGTCCAGGTCTCGCAGGAGAAGGAGGAGGGAGGAGAGGAGGAAGAGGAGGAGGAGACGAGAGGAGACGAGGAGCAACGGGTCGGACGCCAACAGCGAGCCGGAGGAGGGGGAGCTGTCGGAGAGCGAGAGGGACAGCACGCCGTCCTCCAGGGGGGACGAGGACAGAGGGAGGGACAGGGGAGGAGGCAGGAGAGGAGACAGGGACAGGGGAGGGAGGAGAGGAGACGAGGAGCTAGGAGAGGAGGAGACGCTGGAGGAGGTGGAGATGGAGCTGGACGCGGCTCAGGGAGGTGAGTGGAGCTGCACGACTTCTGGTTTATAAAGTGTTTCAAAGTCTGATATTAGAGCCCGACCGATATGGATTTTGTTGTGGCCGATATGAAACCGATATAATGGGAGTTGGAGCTGCCGATATAATCGCCGATATATTTAGTGATGTAAAAATTCACTGTAAATGTTGAATTGTTTAAAAAACTTCGGTTTGTCTCTGGTGGATTTTAAACTGGGTTTATTTAGGAAACATTTATTGTTCTTCTGACTCTTTACATCATATTTACAGACAGTTGGACTAATGACATTTTTGCATCACATTCTAGACACTAGTGACGGGGATTAGTTCTTTTTAGAGAACCGGCTCTTTTGGCTCGGCTCACTAAAGCAGTTGGCTCTTTCGGCTCCCAAGCGGCTCTTGAGATTGTTTTGTTGCAAGCAGGACTAAACCAGAACTGAACCAGGACTGAGTGTCTGGACTCGGTCTCTCCTTCACTCCAGCCCAAGTTTAGTCCTGGTTTATTCATTTTATGCTGAACTGCAGACAAATATGCACTTTTTTTTTTTTTTATCCTATGCACATGCAGATTTCTGAAAGTTTCGTTTTCAGCCGCTGCTGCTGTCAAACTACGGGTCTAAAAGCAACATGAAGAAAAAACACGACTCCCAATAAGGATCAGGCTCCCGTCGTTCCCTTCAAAGAGCCGGATCTAAGAGCCGCTTCGTTCACCACCGACTCATCACGAGTAAAGAAACTAGTGCTATTAGTAGAGCTTGACCGATATATCGGTTGGACGATATTATCGGCTGACATGGGCAACTTTAGGCATATCGGCTATCGGCCGATATACTTGCAGATATGGGCCGATATTTCCCGTGGGCATGTGATACCTCGTTATAAATCTTAGACTCTCTACATTCTGTTCATTTAATCCAATTTACAGACAGATAAATGTCCAAATATGTGACTCCACATCAGTATTTATCTGTGGAGTCATTTGTCTGTGTGTGTCGTACTGTCCCTGAACACACCACAGAGTCACGTCACTCACGTGTGTTTGTTTACACCTGCAGACTCAGATCCAAACACTGAGATTATTTTCTTTTTTCGGACAATCGGTTTGAGTCTGGATTAAAAGGACATTTATTAGTGCAGATTTGTGATGTGGGAGGAGCCTGTGTGATGTGGGAGGAGCCTGTGTGAGCGGTGAGTGTTGGAAATACATCGACTTTGAAGCTAGTTTTTGTCATTTGTTATGGGTTAGCTGCTGTAGCCTCGAACATAAACAGACTGTTTTCTATTGGTCTGTTCTAAAGTGATTATATTGTTCGTATATTTGCTACTGGACCTGCACTGATGTAAATGAGCTGTGAACAGACGTGTGAATTACAACATTTGCGTATATAATTAATTACCGCGGCGCGCACGTATTTACGGCTAAAGGCTAATAGCGCTACTTTCTTTACTAGTTATGGGTCCGTCGCGAATGAAATGACTCTTAGATCCGGCTCTTTGAAGAGAACGACGGGAGCCTGATCCTTATTGGGAGCCGTGTTTTCTCTTTCTCTCACTTTTTTTCTCTTCACGTCGCGTTCAGACTCGTGGTTTGACAGCGGCAGCGGCTAAAAATGAAACTTTGAGACATTTACCTGTACGTAGGATTAAAAAAAATAAAAATAAAAAAAAATAGCATATTTGACTGTAGTTTAGCATAAAATAAATAAGTCCTGGTTTAGTCCTTTTTCAGTCCTGGTTCAGTTCTGGTTTAGTCCTGCTTGCAACAAAACAATCTGAAGAGTCACTTGGGAGCCAAAAGAACCAGCAGCTTTTAGTGAGCCGAGCCAAAAGAGCCGGTTCTCTAAAAAGAACTGGAATAAACATCACTAGTGTCTAGAATGTGATGCAAAAATGTCATTAGTCCAACTGTCTGTAAATATGATGTAAAGAGTCAGAAGAACAATAAATGTTTCCTAAATAAACCCAGTTTAAAATCCACCAGAGACAAACCCAAGTTTTTTTAAACAATTCAACATTTACAGTGAATTTTTACATCACTAAATATATCGGTGATTATATCGGCAGCTCCAACTCCCAGTATATCAGTTTCATATCGGCCACAACAAAATCCATATCGGTCGGGCTCTTGCTATTAGTCTTTAGCCGTAAATGCTGCACCGTGGTAATTAATTGTATGTGTAAATGTGGATCATTCACACGTCTGTTCACACTCATTTACATCAATGCAGCTGCAGAAACAAATATACAAACAATATAATCACTTTACAACAGATCAATAGAAAACAGACTGTTTATGTGACACACAACAGATCAACAAGAACAAATAAACAAAACTAACTTCAAAGTCCATGTAGCCGATATGTCTCCAGGTGCTCATATCGGCCAATAATATCGGCCAGGATATAGCGGTCGGGCTCTAGTGCAGACAGGTGCAGACAGGTGCAGACAGGTGCAGACAGGTGCAGACAGGTGCAGACAGGTGCAGACAGGTGCAGACAGGTGCAGACAGGTGCAGACAGGTGCAGACAGGTGCAGACAGGTGCAGACAGGTGCAGGCAGGTGCAGACAGGTGCAGACAGGTGCAGACAGGTGCAGACAGGTGCAGGACAGGTGCTGGTGCAGAGGTGTGGTTGATCATGATGAGTTTGTTTTTGTGTAAATGTGTTCTTCAGCGTGGCCTCCTTGTGTTCGTGTGACGGTGGTTCGCTCTCCGGTGCTGCAGGTCGGGACTCTGTTCATCCTCACGGCCGACGCCACCGCCACCATCGGACGGTACGGACGCCGCCGCGACTCGTATTTTCAATATATTTTACGTCTTATATGACTTTGTGTATTTCAATCACATTTTCAATCGATCCGATGTATTTGTGTAGCACATTTAAACCAGCCAGAGCTAATCCAAGTGCTCAACACTGAACTAAACTCACAACAGACAAATCGACGAGAATGATAATAAATATACATACAGGCGAGTTTCAGCTGACGTCATTGTTATTAAAAACCCACGTTGCTGCTGGGAAATATTCTGGTTGGAGGCAGAAACACGGTGGCGTCAAACACAGTGTGTAACCTCCTGTATTTCTCCCTGATGGTAAATTCCTGCTGCATCATCAGACGCACAAATAGAAACACAGAAGAAGGAAAATGTCTTTTTCATATTCTGAGTGAAAAGAACCACTAACGGTGAATTAAACGACTTTCAAACATCCGCAGAGCAAACGTAGAAGATCCTAACAAACCGTGGACTCAACAAGTTCAACAACACATCCAGACTCTTGGAGGTTTTCATCTTTTCTGCTGTGAATGGCCCAGGAGTTTCCACCAAGTCATTGTGGATAATAATATTATTATTATAAATATTTGTCCAGGGAGTTGGAGATTCTGACCAGAAGTTTGGTTTGGTCCAGACTCTGTCGGGGTTGAAAAGGGTGATTTGTCGTCCGTCGATGTTTATGACCAGTTTGTGGTCAAATGGTCTTGGGTCGTCTGCCGTTAGAGTGGATCAATAACCAGGATCAATACCCTTTACGTGCTTTCTCGCTCTGTCCTTCATGTTCAATTAGTGTTTCTTGCTGCTGACCAAAATAATTCAAAACATGCAACGCACGCTTTTGTCAACAATGAAACTCGACTATATAAGAATAACCACAAGGAGCCAAGCGTCTCTTCCAAACTCTAGTCCAGACGTGTCAAACTCATGTTGTTCTGGGAGTCGAGTCCAACCGACTTTGATCCAAAGTGTCCGGATCAGAAAACTCAAGTCATATAAACCCCAAAAATAACAAGAAGTTCAAATATTTGTGCAGAGAAACACAAATCTGTTACACAAATCTTTTTGAATTGATGAACTCTTTTTTTTAACTAAATATTATAATATTATGAACAACCTGAAACTTTAAGAAAAATACAATTTCAACACAAAGTTTGAACATGAACTTGTCTGTAAACAGAATAAGTCCATTTTTGTTGTAAAATCCTGCACTCGGCTCCACTTTTCTCATGTTGGACATTTTTCTGATGAGGGTGTCACGGTCAACAGTCAAAACCATCGTCCTTTAAGACGTTTGGAAAGAGACAAGTCTTCATTTGTGCTGCTCTGGTGGGAGGGGCCACGTACAGAGACTCTGCTCTGGTGGGAGGGGCCACGTACAGAGACGCTGCTCTGGTGGGAGGGGCCACGTACAGAGACGCTGCTCTGGTGGGAGGGGCCACGTACAGAGATGCTGCTCTGGTGGGAGGGGCCACGTACAGAGACTCTGCTCTGGTGGGAGGGGCCACGTACAGAGACGCTGGAGACGCTGCTGTGATAAACACCACAGAAAATTAACAAGATTTTAATTGAAAATATAATTAAATAAAATCAGCCCAGAGCCAGATTAAAGGTCTTGGAGGGCCGGATCTGGCCCCCGGGCCTTGTGTTTGACACCTGTGTTCTAGGCAAATGTCAGGGAGAAAAGGTGCGTTTGGAGCATGGATTTAAATGGATTTGTGCAGTGGCAGATTGTTCCACAGTCGTGGAGCGACCACAGAGAAGGTCTGGTCTCCTCTGGTCCTCAGCCTGGTCCTGGGAGGAGGTGGGAGGAGGTGGGAGGAGCGCAGACGTCTGGATGGACGTGTGGCTGAAGGAGTTCAAATAAATATTAAGACTCTTAAAAACAATCATTCAAATTTTAAAATGGCTTCTGAAGTCTCCGTGGAGCCAGCACAAGGATGTAAGAACAGCCGTGATGTTTGTCCCGCCGCTTCTTTCCAGTTCAACATGGAGACACAGAGTCACAGTCGTTGAGCCGCGAGGACACAGATGCATGAACGACCTCGAATAACACCGAGGTTTCTAGAAAATACTTTTACATAGGAGCTAAGAAGAACCTATGGCACTGTCACAGTTTATCAAGACAATGACCAAAAACTCTTATTTCTGTCTTCTGCTTATTTAAACTGAGAAAATTCCACTGCTTCTATCCCTGAACCTCCTTTAAGCAAATCACCAGAACTTGTACAGAGCAGCTGGTCTGAATGTTTGAATCCTTCTCGTGTGGTGTTCAGGGAGAAGGACATGGACCACGCCATCAGGATCTCAGAGTTGGGCGTCAGTAAGGTACAAACATCTACTTTTAAACTTTATAAACTTTAATCTCCTCAGTTTTCCTCACTCTTGTTCTTGTTCTTCTTGTTCTTGTTCTTCTTGTTCTTCTTGTTCTTGTTCTTCTTGTTCTTCTTCTTGTTCTTCTTGTTCTTGTTCTTCTTCTTGTTCTTCTTGTTCTTGTTCTTCTTGTTGTTTCTGTCTGTGGTGCTTCAGTTTCACGCTGAGGTTTTCTTCGACCTGGAGCTTCAGTGTTACATGATCGTGGACCAGGGCTCCCAGAACGGAACCGTCATCAACGGGAACCGCATCCTCCAGGTCAGACCCGCTCGACTCCTTGTTTAGTCCTGCTCAAGTCCCGATCCAGTCCTGATCCAGTCCCCTTCTAGTCCTGCTAAAGTCCTGCTCTAGTCTCGGTCTAGTCCTGCTCTAGTCCTTGTTTAGTCCTTGTTTAGTCCCGCTGTAGTCCAGCTCTCGACTCGCTCTAGTCTTTGTTTAAGTCCCGGTCCCGGTCCTGGTCCCGGTCCTGGTCCCGGTCCTGGTCCCGGTCTAAACCGTGTCCGTGTGTTCCAGCCGAAGCAGAAGTCGTGTCCTCACCCTCTGACTCACGGGGACGAGGTTCGGTTTGGAGACACAGTTCTGTCCTTCCACATTCACCGCGGCACCGACACCTGCGACGGGTGCGAACCTGGACAGATCCTCGCCCACTTGAGCAAACACCCGCGCCCGCAGACAGGGGGCGCCGCCAACGCCGCCGCCGCCTACGCCAACGCCCACGCCGCGGGCAGCAGAGAGGACAAGGAGACGCTCAGGGTCAAAGAGCTCAAGAACCTCAAGGCCAAGTACGGAATCCAGGTAAACAAACACCTGTCTGCACCTGTCTGCACCCTGTCTCCTCGTCTTCTTCTCCTCTGATGTGTCATCGTTGATGTTCTCAGAGTAACGAGGAGTCTTCAGCGTTGAGGAACCCTCGGTACAGAGACAGAGCAGAGTCCAGGAGACAGACCGTGGGCAGTGAGGGAGCGTTTCAGAGAGACGACGCTCCAGCTTCAGTCCATCAGTGAGGAACACTTCAACAAAGACCATCTCAAAACATCTCAAAACATCATCACACCACCTCAGAACATCTCAAAACATCTCAAAACATCATCACACCACCTCAGAACATCTCAAAACATCTCAAAACATCATCACACCACCTCAGAACATCTCAACATCTCAGAACATCTCAAAACATCTCAGACCATCATCATCACACCATCTCAGGACTCTCTGTGGTTTCTCTCTAAAAGTGTTTGTTTGTTTGTTTGTTTGTTTGTTTGTTTGTTTCCACAGAGAGATCTCTGAGGGCAACAAAGGGAGGAAGATGTTGGAGAAGATGGGCTGGAAGAAAGGAGAAGGTCTGGGGAAGGAGGGCTCCGGCATCAGGGACCCGGTGAGACCTTTACACACACTGCACCAGTGTCACACATCTTCATAACTCAGGTCCACAGACGTGACTCGTAAACTGAGTGAACATTTGTGAACGTTCATGAGGATGTTTGTTTATCGACTGACAAAGAACAAAACAAACCAGACTCAGACTTAAAGCTCCACTGCGGGACATTTCTGTCTCTAATTAAACTTGTGTGTTTTTCAGATCGAGCTGAAAATCCGAAAGGCCCAGTCGGGTCTGGGGGCGGCGCCCGCCGTTTCCGTGGACGACGCGTCTCTGAACAAAACGAAGAATCAGAAAAACTGGGACAAAGCTCGAGAACGTTTCGCCGAGACGTACGCGACCCGGGACGAGGGCGGAGCCACGGCCCGGGCGCCGGAGGGGGCAACGCCGCCGCAGAACTGAACCACCCGGACCACCCCGCTGGAGACAAGGGCGGAGCCACTGGAGGAGGGTGGAGCCGCTGGAGAGGAGGGCGGAGCCACTGGAGGAGGGCGGAGCCGCTGGAGAGGAGGGCGGAGCCGCTGGAGAGGAGGGCGGAGCCGCGGCGGTGCAGCCTTGGTGAGGTTTTGTTTGGAGTCATGTGACGTTTGGGACCATTTACACAAACATTCAGTATAAAAAGTTTGAACTGTTCAATGATTCAAAACGACGGTAAATTTTGTGAATAAAATGTGAAATCTCTTAAACTTTAGTTGTGTTTTTATTGTTGCTTTTTTACATTTAAGACGAGATTTTCATAAAGGTCGATGAGAAGCTGCTGATGCGACACAAACCTCGATAAGTTTTTTATACGATGCTCTTTCAGTTCAATAAAAAACAAAGTGTGAATCTCGACTGTGACACTAAAAGTTTAAATCCACTAAGTTTGTACAAAGTGAAAGATCTGGGTCCAGCACAGGGAGAACTACATGTGTGTCAATGAACAAAAAAACAACCAAACTACAACTCTGGTCTCTGGAAACTCAAAGGATCAGTGCTGCAAATCAAACACACGAGTGGATCATGAGAACAGAACTTTTCAAACTTACAGTTTATATAAAAAAAAACACAAATTTTACTTTTCAAAAAGTGAAAATGTCGACGCAGCTGAAACTTTGACACAAAATCAGTCAGTAAAATATTTATAAAAACAGAATCTACAATATATCTAGACCAGGACTAAACCAGGACTAAACCAGGTCTAAACCAGGTCTAAACCAGGTCTAAACCAGGACTAAACCAGGACTAAACCAGGACTAAACCAGGTCTAAACCAGGACTAAACCAGGACTAACCAGGACTAAACCAGGTCTAAACCAGGTCTAAACCAGGTCTAAACCAGGACTAAAACCAGGACTAAACCAGGACTAAACCAGGTCTAAACCAGGTCTAAAACAGGTCTAAACCAGGACTAAACCAGGAAAACCAGGTCTAAACCAGGTCTAAACCAGGTCTAAACCAGGTCTAAAACCAGGTCTAAACCAGGACTAAACCAGGACTAAACCAGGTCTAAACCAGGTCTAAACCAGGTCTAAACCAGGACTAAACCAGGACTAAACCAGGTCTAAACCAGGTCTAAACCAGGTCTAAACCAGGTCTAAAACTAAACCAGGACTAAACCAGGACTAAACCACTAAACCAGGTCTAAACCAGGTCTAAACCAGGTCTAAACCAGGACTACTAAACCAGGACTAAACCAGGACTAAACCAGGACTAAACCAGGACTAACCAGACTAAAACTAAACCAGGTCTAAACCAGGTCTAAACCAGGACTAAACCAGGACTAACCTAAACCAGGACTAAACCAGGGACTAAACCAGGACTAAACCAGTCTACACCAGGACTAAACCAGGACTAAACCAGGACTAAACCAGGTCTAAACCAGGTCTAAACCAGGACTAAACCAGGACTAAACCAGGACCTAAACCAGGACTAAACCAGGACTAAACCAGGTCTAAACCAGGTCTACACCAGGTCTACACCAGGACTAATCCAGGACAAAACCAGGACAAAACCAGGTCTAAACCAGGTCTAAACCAGGTCTACACCAGGTCTACACCAGGACTAAACCAGGACTAAACCAGGACTAAACCAGGACTAAACCAGATCTAAACCAGGACTAAACCAGGACTAAACCAGGACTAAACAGCAGGTCTACACCAGGACTACACCAGGACTAAACCAGGTCTAAACCAGGTCTAAACCAGGTCTACACCAGGACTAAACCAGGACTAAACCAGGTCTAAACCAGGTCTAAACCAGGTCTAAACCAGGACTAAACCAGGACTAAACCAGGTCTAAACCAGGTCTAAACCAGGTCTACACCAGGACTAATCCAGGACTAAACCAGGACTAAACCAGGACTAAACCAGGTCCGTGGCTGTGCACTCGTTTCTGTTTCTTAAACTTGTTCTGAATTAAAGAAAAATCCTCTGAGTTCAAAGTTTTAAATCAAAGTGACATGATTTAAACCTGGAGGCGATTTCAGTTTTATTTAATGATTCAGACTCTGAGCCGTGAGCCGCCTCTGCCCCGGGACTGAACCAGGTCTGAACCAGGTCTGAACCTGGTCTGAACCAGGTCTGAACCTGGAGCAAAACAAACTGAACACATTTTAGACACGTGATTTAGTTCTGGTTCAAAGTTTCACATTTTCAACTTGAGAAAAATGAACAAAAACACTGAAATCTGCTGCAACAAATGTAAGACTGACACTCGAGGCTTGAGGACACGTCTGGACACGTCTGGACAGGTGTGGACAGGTTTAAAGGAGCAGCAGTTTTTATGCCGACGTGGAGAGGAAAGATTTGGAGATTTTGTTCGTGGAGGAAATGAAACCAAACTTTAAAATTTAGCTCAGACTTTTGTTATTTCGATTCAGTTTTGGATATTTTTGTGCCCAGAGCGACATGTTCCGGTGTCTTCAGGAGTGTTCAGGAGGAGTGTTCAGTGTGTGTTCAGGTGGAGTGTTCGGATGTTCGTGTTCAGAGTGTTCAGAGTGTTCAGTGTCAGTGTGTTCAGGAGTGTTCAGTGTTCAGTGTTCGGGAGTGTTCAGGTGTGTTCAGGTGTGTTCAGGGTGTTCAGTGTTCAGGTGTGTTCAGGTGTGTTCAGGTTCTGGAGTGTTCAGGAGTGTTCAGGTGTGTTGTGTTCAGGAGTGTTCAGGAGTGTTCTGGTGTGTTCAGGTGTGTTCAGGAGTGTTCAGGTGTGTTCAGGAGTGTTCAGTGTTCAGGTGTGTTCAGGTGTTGTGTTCAGGTGTTTTGTGTTCAGTTGTTTCAGTGTCAGGAGTGTTCAGGTGTGTTCAGGAGTGTTCAGGAGTGTGTTCAGGCTGTGTTCAGTGTGTTCAGGTGTGTTCAGTGTGTTCAGAGTGTTCAGGTG